TATGCAAAAATGATCTCATCAAAATTTTTAAACTAACTATTTTATTAATACAAGCAGAATACCAAAATAAATAAATAACAAGTAATTATTCCCTTTTCTGATTGTTTTTTGTCTAAGTTTTGGTTCACACAAAAGCAAACACTTTGAATTAACAGAAAATTTTAATTTCACGTTCGGGGGAGCTATTTTTACACTTGTTACTTAAAATTATAATTTTCTGCTGGTTTTTAGATTAAAAATTACTTTAAAATTCCAGTGATACTGATGTAGATCAAAATTTCTCTGTGTCAATCCCAAAAAAAAGTGGTTCACATTTTTGATATATATTTTTTCATATCACATTACAATACAATACATTAGCTTTTCTTCTTTTAGATTAGAGAAATATAACTTATTGAACAATCTTCTGAATAACAATTTAAAATATTACAAGTATTTAATTAAAAAGTTTGGATAAAAGCAGAATATTTGACTATGTTTCGTTCTGAATTGCACATGTATGGTCAATTTCGGAATTCATTTTTTTGGACAGTTTTGAAGATTTGATTCAACGTAATATTTGAAAACTGTGTTTATATTTTTTTCATAATAAAATAATACTATTCAAACAAGTGCTATGCTTTCTTCAAATACTTAATTTGCGATTATATTCAAAGAAAGCAATCAGGAATTTAATTTTATGAATTTATTTAAAAAATACCAAGCACGAGAGAATCCATCTGATAATAAAAAATATCAAATTGGGTCATTTAATTATTAAATTAAGCAGATCTGTTTTTTGCTATAATACTTGCAAACATTAATATCGTTTTCAATTTTTTAGCCACATGACATAGCAACAAAATGAATCATTCGACAATAACGGATATTTAATTAAGTATTCTTAAATGATTTCTTGTTGCTTGAGAGTTGGGTTAATGAGTTATAATTTATCAGTTCAAAACTGTAGGCTGAATTTCTAAGCAAATTTCATATCCAAATAATTTTCTCAAATTCACTTTTTTTGCAACAAATAAAAATATACTAATTAAAAATACACCAAATTATTGATTTGACTTTTAATTTTTTTTAAGTTTTGAAGTAATATTATCATATGTTATTGCTAGAACAACCATATTCACGCAGTTTCTTTTATTTCAGGCGAAAAAAAAACTTTGCCCAATGCTTTTAACCGATTTTTCTCGTAATTTTCAAGTTCATTATTAATTTAATACAATTTTACTTTTTTAAATTACTAAATTTTACGTTTGCTCAAACCTAAAATTTAGTAATTTAAATTTGTATACTGCATTAGTTTTAATTTGTATACTGCATTAGAAGTATTTCTTTCAGAGGTTCTTGCTAAATCCGTTGAGTCAGTCAAATTATGAGTCGGGTGTTGACCCATATCCGTGAGCTATTAAAAAAGATAATCTGGACTCATGAAATCACTCTAAAGCAGTTTACTGCGATCTATTTTGCTAATTTCAGTCTTGCTCTAGTTTTCATAACTGCTGGCGGTGTACTGTAATAGTATTGAATAATATTCTAATACTCATATTTAAAAAATTTAAAATATATTTGAAATTATTTACAAATAATAGCACTTCTTCACTTCGTTCTAATAATATTCAAAATGTTTGTCTTCAATTAATTAACTTACTTTTACTTATCTAATAATTTCTCAGTTATTTAATTACTATCCTATTTTTTAAAAATAAAACACGCAAACGAATTGTTATATTGCCGTGGAACTGATCACTGATAATTAGTTCATTTCACTTTTTTAAATTGGAGTGAAATTTCTTGAAATTGTCTTACTACTTTTCCCTTTTTAGAACACTTTCAAAAAAGACAACTTTTCTGTGAGGCATCAATTTTGAACGATAATCCCATATATTTATAAGGAAGTGTTTTTACAGCACAAAAAAATTTTTACAATATCAATTTGACTAATAAATATCGACTCATATATTCTTTAGGTCAATTACAGATTTACAAAGTAGTTAATATTTTTTTAACTTTTTAAAATTTTTCAACCATTTTTTTAATTTTTATCTTTCAGAATTTATGTCATCACTGGGAAGTATTATTTTTCGACTGTTCTAAAGATTGCCCTACATGAATGCAAGAAATTTCACCAACCTACTGATTTCTACTGATTGCTTCGCAGAAGTCATTATTCACAAATTATTGTAAGTTGGGATAAGTTTAATGTTTGATAAGTACAAATTTGATACTTGGTAATAACTTGATACCAAAAAACCGTTTAAAGATAATTAGAATCTACTTTTTTGGCTTTGTGAGTTTAATTAACTCATTTTTTCAGCGATTTTCATATTTTATAATTTTATGTTTTACATGTACATGTGCATGTTTTTTCAGCATTGTTAAACTTAAGGAAAGCAAATAAGTTGCAAAAATCAAAAGTATGTTGTGGAATTTTGGGATTAGAGTTATAATTATTACGGCTACGATCATTGAAACTGTAGCACAGCAGTTTTTGAAGTCTCATCCTTGCAATTCACCCAAATTAGCGCATAAATGGCTGCCTACGTCTTATTTATACAAAAGTAAGTGATTCTTACTTGGATAAACTACACTCCATACAGAGTCAAACTTTGATAAAACAACAAAATTAGGCTAAACTACTTTGAAAATGTGCATTGGTCAAGAATAAGTTGCAACAAAAAGATCATTAAAAATATTTTTGCTATATTTTGCAATATAAGTATTATATTAATGAAAATGCATACTGTAATAAAACTAAAAATTACAGTTCCGATAAAGTCTTACTTACCACTGCCAAATCCATGTTTATCAACCTCTTATGGTGGAAACTATAGAGAACAATTTCAATTTGAAAACCAAAGAAAAATCATTCCTGCTGTATCGAACTATACTGAAAATGAAGGAAGAAAGCAGTACATCTCATCAAGTACTTCTCAATTTACACCGATGAAGCTTTGGTGGCAACAAAAACCAAATAACTACCAAACATCCAAATATGGTTTGAAATTAAATACTCAATAATTTTTTGAAATCAAAAATTTTAAGTTTTTTCTTTGAAAATAAAACATTTTCAATAAATAAAATATGAGCTGTACTGCATTATTTGGAATCCATAATAATAATTTTTCATAGAATTATCCATTATTCATCTTCATCCTGATATTATTTTATTTGTCATTAAGCTAATTATTCATTGCTGTAATCTTCTTTTGCCTAAACTTTAATTTTTACTCTTAAATATTATCAATTAAAAAAAATTTTTTATTTTCGAATATAATTATACATCTTTCAACTCAAATTATTGGTATTGAACTGCCGAAATTGTAAATAACGAATTAATTGAACTTAATTCGGAAGAGAATTTAAATATATTCATTTCGGAATCTTAGTTATTAAACTATTCAGGGAAAATTTAAAGGTACTTTTAAAAAGTTACTGAAATTTAAGCACAACCTAATCCCTGTGAAAGCCATGCTGAATCAGTGAGTGATTTGAATTCATATGAATCATCCAGTGATTTATCAAATCAAAGAACTTCAATGTACTTGTCATCATCTCCAGTTATTGACAATTTTCTACAGGGTAAGATCAAACTTATAGAAATTATAAGTATTTACAATTTAATATTCATGGGACACTTAAAAATTTTAGTATCATATTAAGTACACGAAAATTTAATATTATATACAATGAAATAGATTGATGTCACGACTTGTATTACTAATTACAGGTCTACAGTTACTTTATTTAGAAAAAATATTAGCTACAAAAAATAAAAATTAGCTTTTGTAAACCATTAGATTTCTTGTTCCAATTAAAAAATTATACTTTTTTCAAATAATTTTTAAGTTTCATTTAAAATTTATTCATAAATCTTTCCACTAATATTTACAATTCTGCACAACAGTAATTTAATACTTTTGTAAAATTTCTATATTACTTTAGTATTTTGGTGATATCTTTTAGTTCAAACGATGAAAGCTTTTTTTACAGACTCTGCACACACAGAAACACAACCATCACTGTTCAAGAGAAAACGTAATAATGACGGATATGACAGCGAAATAAATACCAGAAAATTAGTTGATTCTGAAAAAAATATTTGTAAGCTTACACAAATTTGTTTTTATTTATTGACAATACAATTGCTACTTTTTGAATTATAATTAAAATCCCTTGATTTATGCATACTTTCAGATCCCAGTCATAAGTTACGACGGAGATCATTTGCATTAAATAAACGTAGTGCATATTTTACCAAAGATAGGGCAAGTTTAAATTGCTAATCTTTATTTTTGATTTTTTGAAGTATGTTTGAAATCAGATCCACCACTGACAATAAGCAGAATTAAATTATTTTTTATCTTGCAGTTGATATTTGATCTAAAAGTTTGATCGTAAGTTTGCAAATGGATATTTAAAGTAAAAATTTGGAGGATTTCAGATTCGACACAGTGATCTTGCAGAAACGATTGCCTTTTTGCCTTCGAACTGTAATAGTAAAAGACTAGGAAGAGTCATCTTGAAAGCAAGCTATTTATAAATTTTTCCGCGCTTATTTGAATTACAGATGTTAATCAAGTGATTAGTAAGGATTAGTTAGCTACTTAACTGACGTGACGCTTAAATCAACAGTAAATTATTTATGATAAAGTTTATACCACAACAGTTGCTTATTTCTGCTGAAGAATTTACTGTATAAAAATGTTGAAGCGATTTACGGTATTTACTGAAGTTATATTACACAAACGAGTCTTTTTTTATATTTTTATAGCTGGCTTTTATATCAAAGACAAGGCTTGAAATTTTTCTGGAAAATTTTTTAATATATTTTGTTGAAATATTTGTGCAATTATACAATTTGTGATAATTGCACAAGTTAACTGCAGAACGTAAATTTCAATTTTCAGGCGATATCAACGAACATGATGGATTCAGAGCGTAACTTGAGAAAAGCACTTGAAACCGCATATAACGGCATTAAATTTAACGTACTTTGTACGCAAAATGATTTTGGTTACAGTATTCAGACAAAATTATACTGCAAAGTTATAAAAAATGGTGTCAGTTGCTTAGTATTTCGATGAAATTTAGTGCGATAGAAATACTTTTCTTTAGAGTGACTACGTATTAAATGCGAGAAAAGTTTCTAACTTATCGTTTCACGTGCTTGCAATATTATGCTTGCGCTGAAATCACTTAATATGTACTAGAAGATATAGAAAAGTACTTCAACTTTGAACTTTGAACACTTAAATTAAGAAATTAAAAAAAATTATTGGTTTTATTTATTATCAAATCAAATAATACACCGATAAAGAAGGTTGCAGCCACCACATTATCATTTCAAGTTTTTTTATTTTGATAACATTTTTACGATAATAAAGCCAAATTAAGGTGTTTTGAATATTGTACCAAACTTTGTGCAATGTTATACAAAGAAGTGCTAAAATATTTGCGCAAAAAACTGAATTTGAATTTGTTCTCGTAATTTATATATTCATCCATTACTGTCACTTTTCGTGCTATTTGAATTGCAGTAAAGATTCCTCGAAATTCTTTTGTTGCAATACAGATAAAAAGAATTCATTTGATTGAATATTCAACAAAACAAGAACTTCCATTCGGATAACAAGAATCGCATTCGTTTATTTAGACTAAGATCTTTTGAATTTTATCAAAATTTGAATTTATCGAAAAATTTGAATTTATCGAAAAATTTGAATTTATCGAAAAATTTGAAAGGAAGAATCTAAATGGATTAATCACGTTTGAATATCAGAGCACAAAAATTATTAAACTAATTTGAACTTGTCACTTATTAAATTGATTATTCATATGAGATCATGATCTATAGATCATTTTTATCATTTGTCGGCAACAAAATGAAATATGAGACTTTCCAAAATGAATTGCTTTAATTGTTTAATCATTCACAGTTGCATAGTTTTATTTATAACTATTTACTTTATCAAATGAAGAGCATTTTCAGTAGAGTAAGAATACTTCCTGGCATTTGCCATTCTTTGGTACGTGTAATGAGTTGAAGAAAAATATAACTTGCAAATGAAAGTAACAATTTGGATTAGTTGTATAATGCTGTGTAATTTAAATATATTTTATTTTATTTATTATTTATTAAATTAAAACATCAGTAGAGGAAGCGTCGGACGCATTATCTTCTTTGGCGGAGATATCATCGTGGAAGCTTATCTTTGCTTCCTCAACATCACCTGATGTCTCCTCCAAAAGTTCTGTAACCCACAACATGTAAATTAAAAGATTTGATGGAAATCGCTATTAAATTGATTTGTCAGCATTAAACTGGATTAATCACGTTTGGATATTATAGCATAAAAATTGTTAAACTCAACTTGAACTTGTTACTTATTAAATTCATTTTTCATAGCAGATCATAATCTATAGATCATTTTAATTAGGTATGAAGATGAATTACTTTTAGCAAATTGGTCTATCAACTATTGTAGTAATTACATAACGCACCTTTGTTAATGCGAGTCAGATGAGAGTCATCCTTGCTAATGCGTCCAGATTTAAAGGCTTTGATGAAATCTACCTCATCTACTAGCACATGATCCCACTCGGTCGAGCTTGGTATTGGGTCCTGATTTGACACTAAGCAGTCCTCAGGTGAATCGTGAGAATCTGTACATAGAATGCCCCTACTATTCTTTTAAATTAATCAAGACTGATCAAAAATGATCTGCTCAAATGCAATATTCACAATGTCTAATGCTTGCCGCAAAATATTGGTAGATTGTATGTGGCACTATTCATTTTTAAATGTTTTGGTGCAAAATTTTCTGATCTCCAAGTACTTGATTTTGAAATATGCATTGTGTTTACTAATAATGAGAGGTAGAAAGTATAGAAGTGATGGAATAGTTAACGTGCATGGGTTGAAATCACGCAATCGTATCAATTATACTTATTGATATGGCTTCTGATAAAAGTACTGCAGTCGTACTTGCTTGTGATTTTGTATATTGCCCGAGAATAGCACTAAACCGCGCTCCATCATTTTCAGTGAGGCGCCCATTTCTCACAGCTTGGATCACATCAATCTCGTCAACCAAAATATCACCTCGAACAACTGCTTCAGCCAAATCAGACATAGTTTCCTTTTCTTAGATAAGATCAAATATCAGTATCGAAGAAGAGAGATCCAAATGATTTACCGTACCAAACCCGTATATAATTTGCCTAGGTAACTTCTGCGATTATCCCACCCACACCCTACAGATTTCACACAAATAATAAAAACAATAGCATTTTTTAGTTCATTTATAGTGTTTGGAAAATGAAATTTACATATTTAATTCTTTATGTGATTATCCATTTTAGTAGCACTCAATACGAGTAGTATTTAAATTTTTAGAAGTTTCTGCTAAATAGAACAAAACAAAAACCATTAAAATTAAGTCAATATCAGTATTTGCAACTTAGTTCTTTAAAAAGCATAAATACAAAGAAGCGGAACGTAAAAAATAAGATTGATTATAATATTAATTTAATTTACATTTACATTCTAATTCAGATAACTTTAGTACTGTTTATTCTAATTAACATTACTTCAATACACAGTAAGTTTCATAGTAATTTGAAGACTAAATTCTAATAAAAATTGCATTCAACTATTGCCTGACCCGTAACTCTTTATATATGGTTCGTAATTTTAAAACTACAATTTTTTATCTCATTATTGCATGCTTACGTTGAGACTAATGAATGTAACCAAATAACTTCTAGTACAATCTGTACAAAAACTGAATGATGTACAGTGAGAAAAAGATCAGATCATAAATTTACGGGTCTCTATGACTAAAAATGAATTCTACTTTGCTAACTTACTATAATTAAAACAGCGGAACATGTAAAATCAATCACAAATTGAAGAATCAGATGCATATATCATCCATTATCTGATAAAAGTAGTTAGTTGCATAATTGTTGATAACATTTTATATTGTACTTCTGCATTATATCAGCAAAATTTATTTGAGCAAAAATGTTACAGTAACTTTTAATAAAAGTTAAGCAACTACTTAAGCTATCACAGCACAATTTTGAGTGAAAACTACTGAAATAAGCAACAGTTCTTCAAACTTAAAAAATACGATACATGTAATCATATGTATTCCAAGTATGATTAGTACAGAAAGCAGATAAAGTAAATATTATGAGCATCAGTACGCGCAACATGACAACTACCAAGTATCTGAAAAGCTCAGAATAAATACAAAGACTTAATAGATAGTAAATAATAAAAATAACTGAGATACAATAGCGAGTTTCATGAATCAATTTCAGAAAACCTGAGCTAGCAAGAAAGATCTGAATATTTTTGTTTCAAATAAAAAAACAGAATATCCATTAAAGTTTTTTTTTTTTAAATTAATAACCAAAATATTATTAGTTTCTGTTTTAATAAGTTGCGCACAGCAATTGTTTTTTATTTTGTACTTCGAAACGTTAGACAATTTTGGCAGTTATGCATTTTCATGTTTTTTCTGCTTGAAACAATGACAAATCGCGATCGTTTTAATACACAACAAACTTAATATAACTGTAAGTTATCATGAAAATCAGTTCAGTAAACTAAAACAACAAAAACAAAGAAGTCAGCAGTAAATTAAGCTGTATTTGCTACGAGCAAGATTTTATGCGCATGCAAAGTCATCTCAAATAGAGTGTTTCCACATCCTTTAGCACTTTATGAGTTGATTTTGTGATGAGTGTTACTGAAAAAACAGATCCGTGCACATATTTTCAAATTAATATTAATAGTAAATCACACGGGGTCAATCAAATTAAGTGATTCAAGTAGCTAAATAGCTGTAACCATTGTCAAGTTTAGTTTAGTAAAAAGAGCCGAAAAATGCATGCAGAAAAGCCTTATGTTCAATGAAGCTCAGAAAACAGGCCACATTTGAATTGTTTATTTCATTACACAGAAATTTAATGCTTGGTTTAGAAGCAATAAAAGACTCAAAGGATTCTTCATAATACCGAAATCACTGAAACCTTACGGACTCGTTAATGAAACTATCGGTGATGATGATAAAAATCTTAAGTAACGGGCAATAAAAGAACCTAAATTTGCATACAAGTATTGTTTCCAATCTAAACAACTGTTTGCCTTTCTAATGCCTCTATAAAAAATGAAATTATCGGTATAATTTTTGCAACAAAAGTTGTAACTAATAAATATTTGCATAACATTGGACATATTTTTAAGAATTATTTGCATATTGCCATACCTCATTAAAAATGGAGTCACCAATGCAAGCATTCACATGAGCTGAAACAAAATTAAGTTTAGAGACGAAGCTAACCTAAAAATATATACTAACAGCTACTCAACACTATATAACGTCTCTCACGTTACATATAATCAAATTCAGAAGTTTATAATTCTAATCACAAAACTTATTTTAGTTCTTATATATTCCTACATATTCCGTAAAACTAAAATTTTTTATTTATTGCCAATGACTAAAAAGCTTGCCTTCATGTTCACGCACATAGCTATGCACGAAGGCTTTTAGCTATTATTGGCAATAAATAAGAATTTGTAATTTTAATATTTAATCATGACTACAAAAGGAACAGAAAGAAACCTCGACCCGAACTTGAAGAGTTAAAAATCATATTCTGTCTTCTGCCTCCATGTTTTCTAATCAAGCTTTCTTTGCTTCTTCTTTCACTCCAATTACTTTGTCTATTGGATTGTTCAAAATTAATTTCTGCTTTATTGAATGTGCCAAAGTTCTTCTGGTAATTTGCTGCTTTACTATGTCCAAATCCTTGATATCTACTATCACCATGACCCGAAAAGCAATTGGCATTTCTAAAAATGTAATTTTTGTAATGTCTTCAAGTTACAAGCTAGCAAACATTGTTTTTGTACTTTAATACAATTACATAAATGCGCAATAAAAAAGGACTTGTACCAAAATGATTAATTTCAAAGTTACCGCAACAAAAATATAAAACCAAAAATTTTATACCGATTAATATTGCTCAAAAAAACTATACCTTGCGATATTAGCTCCACTTTTATTCCCTGATGATCTGTCATCAAGAACACTGTCACCCTGACCAAAATGTGTAGGAATTACACTTCCTTGACTAGAGCTATCTATATCTCCAACATTGCGCATTTTACCAAATATATCAGGCGCCTTCATTCGATTTGAGGCGTTAAATTGACCAGAACGTGACCTAGATACGAGATAATAAAGCTTATCATACTTTTCAAGAGGAAGAATTTTTAGAGTGAAAAAATTTTGACTTCAAATTTTTAGACTATTAAATGGATTTAAAATAAACGTCCATGGGTACTATAAAAAGTAAGCAAAGTTGAAAAACTGTATTTTATTTCATTTCTATCTTTTCGAGAACTGTATTTTATCCCGTTTCCGCTTAAAAATCGAACTACTGAAAATATCATCAAAATTTCAAATTTTACCATCTATTCAAAGACAAATTGTTGGCTGTAACTGGATTCATCAATGCATTGCTTCCCAATGTCTTTCTAATACAGACATTTCTTCCAAAAGCTTCCTCAAAAGCTCCGTCAGTGTATTGGAATGATGCAAATAAAGGCCATGGCACAACCGAACGACACCGAAGCCCTGTTATACCGTATTGCTAGTACCGTGAAGAAGTGAATTGCAATATGAAAATTATTCTACACCACATATATAAAAATGCAGTATATGTTATCCAGTAAAAACATTTCATATTAATCATTTCTTATAAACTTTGATAACTATTTAAACTGCATCTAAATCAGCCTTTGTATACTACACATAGTCATACACTTCACGTATTAATTATTTGTTTGGAACTTGGATAAATATAATTAGCATGGGTCAAAGCATGTAACTCTGAATCTGGACATTTCCATTCTAAACTCTAAACATATAATCAGAAGAACGTACAATTTCCATGATCATTACTTAGCGTGTTGGGTTTATTAATGCCTGTTACATTTTCTTTGCTATACAGTGGTTCAAAGTGTACGTTGAAAATGTCATTCTCATCTTTTGATTCGATCGTCAAATGATACTCATCGCCTTTCTCCATCTTCTATATTTTTCAAATCATTTAAAATTACAGTCTTGTCAACTCAAAGAAAAGTCTATTATACATTGATATAAAAGAAATCTTAGCTATTTTAAAATCAGGACAAAATTTAACACTTTATTACCTGCACGAGATTACCACGTTCCACATTTCCTCTGAGTCGACAGTGTAATAGAGCTACTGGTAATGTAACAACATCATCTTTCTGCAGTTCAAGCAGTGCTTAACAACATTAAAACAGCAAAGTTGTTTACAATTTTAAGGTCATTAATGTATTTTTGATGTCAAAGAAAATGTCCGTCCTTTAATGTTCATTATAAACACTTGAAAAACGTGTAAAAAATACGTGATCTTTGACTTGAGATTTCCGAGGAAAAATTTTAATGCTTAGTCTTAACTGAATTAGGTATTTTTAAAGTAAAACTTGAAAAAACCAGACATCTGACTTTTTATAAAGATTAATAAATGAGTGTAATAGAAGAGAAGAATGCGTACGATATATCATGCCTTCAGAACTTGTCTCATGTTTTTTACAAATCTGTAGCAAATATTACAAATTTAAATGAACCTCGTCAATCGTTGATATATCGTACGCATTACTATACCCAATCCATTTGCAAAAACCATAATCAACTAGGTAGACCAAAAATCTGAAGATTTTTGTGCATTAACTAATCCAGTAATACTTGGTCTATAGTAAATTTTGCATTCATTTATACTCAAAGTACTCAAAAATAAAAGTATTTATAAAACCCATACATATTTTAAAACTTAATTTAGTTGACAAACTGCGCTGAATTTTACAAATGTGAGGGCACTATTGCAATTTTTTTGTTTGAAAAATAAAAACCTAACAAATATTTTTTCATGAAAGACTCCTTTCCTTAATCAAATCTAAAGAAAAACATTTTGTTTCTAAAATTTGGTAAGTTTGCTTTCTGATCATACTTTGAAGTAGCATTGAAAAACTTGATAATTTCTCCACGACAAAGACAACGACAACCGCTATCAATACTGGTTCTCACTATACAACTCATTCCAAAGAACCGAGATACCAGTGGTAATTGAAATTGTGGGAAAGTACTATATCTTTGTCGTCCTTCATGAAGTACCTAAACAGCATTACTAACAAGATTTAAAAGAAAGTCACTTTGCAAGCGTAATTTATTATGCTCACTTTTTCGATTGTGGTGAAGATGCTGGGTTCAAAAACCCAAAATGTATCCCTTGAAGATGGGTCGACTTCATCAAAACGAATTCGGACGGAGACAGGGTATGTATTTGGTGTAAAATAGTTAAAAACACTTTGCTTCTAGAAAAATATGAGCAGTAATGAAATCAAATGTTCTTCTACAGAATTAGAACTTATTCTGATCTAAAATGTTATTTACGAATTTCATGATAATAAAGCTTTTTACTCGATTCTATCAGCACAAATAATTATGCTGTGAATCTTCTAAATATGTTTATTTTGCAAGATCACATGTTCTGCTAATAATTTTGTTGAATATTTAAATGAAAAAGTTTTATAATTGTTGTCAAGCTCAATTACAAGGAAAACAAAGCAGAAATGACGCAGCTATTAAACTTACGAGTCTTGGCATTCCACTGCTCATACTGCTTAGCTTATCTGAATATGAAAACGATTGAGTTCACTTTTATTTTTTCTGAATCTTTAGAGAATGAGATTTGAAATATTATCAAAAAACGGACCATAGTTAAGCAGGGAATAAGGAAGGACTTTACGGTATACTCGTTTAAATGACACAGTGTCATTATTCATCAGTACTCGATTTTTGTCCGGCTTCTGAAATTAATTTTAAAACCTTCACAAGTTTTTAGCTAGTCATATCCGTCCAAATGATACCAGAAATCATTTACATTATTCCAAAAACTAGCGGCTTGCTTGTCATCACGATTGTGTACCTTATTTTCATACTTGTCAACCACACCACCTAAACGAGTCGGGTACTACATAAAGTTTTCCATGTTAACATTAACATTACGAACTGTTTTTTGTCATATTTTTATGTAATTTTGTCTCTAAAATTTTTAGAAGCTAATAAAGTTTGCATAAAATTAGATCTCATCAGAATTGTTCTCCTTACAATGCTAAAAAAGTATTACTTTACGGCTGGCTTTGGGAAGTGTGATGAATGAGTAGGAAGCCATCTATTACCAGAATGGAACTCAAGAAAATAGATTGAAGGAGATTATCAGTTTGTGATTAATTTCAGAAATCATAAAAAAACCATTTATTTGCCTATAATTCTCGTCATTTCTGAAACTCTTCTTGTAATACGCTGAGGAATTGCAGCGATCACCAAACAGTTTTCCAGTCTGAAAGGGTGATAAAACTCGATCGTTAAGGTGTTCAGAACCTGGAACTATAAAACCATATTTTAAAACATCAAATCTTTTTTTCTATCAAAGAACAATAAAGCTGTTGAAAGTAAGATTGAAGCATTAATAAAAGCATACTTTCAAATACAAATTTCGAACAGTGCTGTGCTTTTGCTGGCATAAAACTGATATCTTTCAATTCTGCATATCCACTGTTTTCATATGAAATAAGCAATCGACCCTTTACGCATAATCCGACCGAAGGGATTATAGCGAGGTTACCTGCCAAGTTTTATCATCATCACACTGATAAATTTTTGAAGTAGTTTTTCGATAAGTGATAAAAAACAAAACTCAATACGCAGAAGAAATATCTGATCAAACTACTCAAGCAGTAAAAAATTAGACCGTTGATGCAGCGACACTGATGTCCAACAATTTTATTCGCAACCTTACGCTGCTCTTCTCCAGCATCAATAACTAAAACAGGACACAAACGGCTAGGTTTCACTTCATCATCTGAAGTTGAAGGAAAAAGTGCAGTTCCATCAACTTCAACATCGATTCCTTTGTCAATTAGATGAACCTTAAAGAATCTTTAGCATAGATCCTTACCAATAAAAAATCTTTTCTTCTAAAAACTAATGGTCAATAGAGCCGTAACAAATTTTCATATGTCTATTACAGTTAATTTTCCCCGAAAAAATGGTGAGAAAACAAATTCTTCTTAGTAGCAAACGATTAATATGCGTGCTCTTCTACTACTTATTCACAACTGGAATCAGAAATAAAACAAACTTTCGTTAGTCTTCTCTTCTCGTAATTTTTTTTTGCTCTAACACTTTCCACATATTGTCCGACACGAATAGTAAAGTTATCTACGAAACATGTCATTAAGGTGTCAGAATCATGGTTGCATGCAGAAATCGGTAGCTCAGTAACTTTATCGAAGACCATCCATACCATTTATATACATATATATATATATATAT